TGTTATTCCATACCAATTTTAGTATCGATACCATTCTCCAAATGGCCAGGAGAACTAAATGTCGTTGGTGGCTACATAATAGATAGATAGATAGATAGATAGATAGATAGATAGATAGATAGATAGATAGATAGATAGATAGATAGATAGATAGATAGATAGATAGATAGATAGATAGATAGATAGATAGATAGATAGATAGATAGATAGATAGATAGATAGATAGATAGATAGATAGATAGATAGATAGATAGATAGATAGATAGATAGATAGATAGATAGATAGATAGATAGATAGATAGATAGATAGATAGATAGATAGATAGATAGATAGATAGATAGATAGATAGATAGATAGATAGATAGATAGATAGATAGATAGATAGATAGATAGATAGATAGATAGATAGATAGATAGATAGATAGATAGATAGATAGATAGATAGATAGATAGATAGATAGATAGATAGATAGATAGATAGATAGATAGATAGATAGATAGATAGATAGATAGATAGATAGGACAAAATTGCCTGCAGTACGCAAAGAAATGTTTTGCATTGAATACAGTCAGCCTTGCGCGGAACGCGCAGCTCTGTCCCAGCGAAAGCCAAAAATGCAGAATTTCCGGTGTCTGTTTTGAACATTGTTCGGACAAATAATGATATTACAGTTGCATCGTACCCATTATGCAAGTGTAGTTGTTAAAACTTTTTCTGTAGCGGGTCCACCGTGCCATTTTTATACATTCGGAAAAGCGTGGTTTTTGCTAGACGCATGCAAGGAACTATGTGCATTTTTTACAGCGACAGCTGCTATTAGATCACAACTAGGGTCACGTGCGCCGTAGTTTTGCAACGCCGCCGCCGCTGGTGGCCGTAACAACTATCACGTAAATTGATAAAAAAGTGAGAAAATAAAGAACACCAATAACACAATGACATTCTAACCCGAGTCTCATGTGTGCCAGTCTAGTATTCTAACGATGAACTATGCCGGCGCTGGGAACTACGCTGCAAACTGATCATAGTGGGCAGGCTTGATAATGAAAAGGATCGTTTTATATGTGGGGTTTAACGTCCCAAAGGAACGATATGATTATGCGGGACGCCGTAGTGGAAGGCTGCGGATATTTCATCCACCTGGCCTTCTTTCACGTGGACCCAAATCGGAGCACACGGGCCTACAGCTTTTCACCTTCATCGAAAATCCAGCTGCCACAGCCGGGATTCGATCCCGCAACCTGTGGTTCAGCAGCCGAGAACCTTAGCCGCTAGACCACCGCGGCGGGGCTATCAGGAAAGAAATAGTACTAATGTGTGTAATAAAGTGCTTTAGAACAACGAGAAAAAGCCAGGCGTCTCACAATGCCAATTGCGTAACGAGTGGGTCTTCGAACAACCTCATTACAATAGCGCTAGGCATAGCTATTCATCGTTATCTGCAGCCAAAGCATCAAAAATTGTACAAAATTTCTCGCAAGTGTGTAGGGGGTATCACACTTCTTCGAAGAATGGCGAAGGATAGCATAGTAAATGCCTCCCAACAACACAAAATTTAGAATTTATGGCATAGTGGGTACCCTGCAAATGTGCGTCCAGCATTTACTGAAATAGAGAAACGGCTCTAAAAGGCTACTTTTGCAGATTTCGCTGTGACTGTGCTGCACGTTCCACGCAGGCCTGGCGTTTTTTTTTTTTTTTCAATGCTGTGGCTGATGATGATGTAGAATTCGACCTTAAGCGTTAGTTTTGCTTTTTAAATATATACTTTCAATTCAGCACAAAAATTTCCTATGTCCTCTGTAATATTTTTATATTTAACCATTCTTATTCTAAAATTTCATACTACTTTTTGTAAGACTGCTCAATTATTGGCCAAACCACCAAAGCGTGTCTGCACCACAGTTAATAAGTAGCCAAGAACACGCCTTCGTGATAGGTTCGAGTATTCAACGACTCATCCTCTGCGCCGTTCGCATTGTGTGAAACCTGATTGTAACTTTAATGTTCTAAAACATGTTATTGAAATTCGCCATTCCTTAGTGGACGTGAAGCCTGCGTAAACCCAGTCTGGACCGGAGTTTTAAGCACTACATCGTAGCTCAGTTGTAGAGCACTTGATTTTCCTGCAAGGGCCGGGATTCAATTACCCTTCTTTAGAAATTAGTTTTAATTTGATTAGTTTCTTTTTTTCACGTGATAGTGGTTACGGACAACAGCGACAGCGATGGTGGTCATTGTTGTGGTCTCAGAATATCTTTGTCTGTAAATGAACTTCACTGAAAAACATCTCTCTAGCACTTGTCGCTTATTAGCTACGTACATGTGCTCGTTCCGAAATTTGTTTTGGGTCGATAATTGCTCGGCGCATGTCTGCTTCTTTATCACAAAATCGCGCCAATGTGCGCGAAAGCATCATCTCAGCCCCCCCCCCTCCTCCGACCGAAACACAAACCCACTCTTTTGCCAAAGTAAATTGTTGAAGGCAAACATGAACGCTGCCGATGCGTCAACTTGAGTCTTTGAGTAGCAAATAATAAAATACAAGTTCTATACACATTGCATACTGCGGTATGGAATTGGCCACCGTAGGAAGCACACAAGCGACCAAGGTGATAAGTGTCACCCTGTCATTGTCGCTCTGATTAGTAACAGCTTCCATTCCTATTGAAAAACGTCATACGACACGTCTGACAATTATGCAGTAATCTCGCATGATTATACAAGAAAACATATGATTGTATGCATTCATACTAGATAATTCTATACGAGGCCTGTGTGCCCTATAAGAATTTTCTTTATATAGTAGTGCACACAGTTCTACAAATGATTGCAGTGGAGCTGTAATTGATAAACCCCTTTAGATTGGTGGTATCAGTGCGTGTGCGAAAAACCCCACGTCAGCTCCTTCCTATACCACGTATCGTCATTACATCACATATCTCTTAAATTTGTGATGTCATTATTCGGCTTTTGTATTTGTGATGTCACACGGTTACATCACTACCACATTACGCCACATGATCACCTCATCAATCTACATAGTGTATCAATAAAGCTCTTGCAGAGCAACACCGGAGGCAGTGCAACGCCTCATGAAGTGCAGAAAGCTTCGGTGCAGCGGTACGCCTTCCATAGGCGTTTCGTCACATCAGTCGAGTGAAGGCACTGACCGCCTACGCGCAGTCACACGTGGCAAGTATGAGCCCAGCACGCATGATGAGAATGGCCGAGGCATCTTTAAAAAGAACTACCCTACTCTGTGTCTACAGATTCGTCCGGTGACATAAATCGCAAGGGTGATAATGTATAGGCCGCGCTGCGTGATTCCTGCATCAGCAGCTTCGACAAGTATTTCCCGTAAATGTTATCAAGGTGCCCTGGTACACTTTTTTTTTACGATTGTAGTTGCAGGTTACGCACACTAGGAGCAGAAGGGAGCCTGCTAAAAGCAAAATTCCTTCGCTTGCGTTCTTGTTTATATTGCATAGAAAGAGCCAAATAGATTGATTTATTGATTTGTGGGGTTTAACGTCCGAAAACCACTATCTGAATATGAGAGACGCCGTAGAGGAGGGCTCCGGAAATTTTGACCACCTGGGGTTCTTTAACGTGCACCCAAATCTGTGCACACGGGCCTACATTTCCGCTTCCATCGGAAATGCAGCCGCCGCAGCCGGAATTCAATTCCACGACCTGCGGGATTTCTAAAGAGTGCCACGACACGCTTGTGTTTTGAGAGATCTAGCAACATATGTGGCTTCATAGTTACCTAGTTAATTAGACCAAGAAAGTATTCCTGGTTAATAAAGACAAAACTTTCAAACTTTACAAGCTGCTGGCTATTAAAAAAAGTTGCCGCAAATGTAGTAAAATACGCTCAGGATAAGTAAATGCATATGTTTCCAACTGTTGTCTTTTTTTTAAGATTGTGTTTATCATGCAAATACTCTAGGTAGCGAGAAAAGTGCCCTTATGGGAAGTGGTAGAGTGGTTGTACTGCACAAAATAAGTCACCAAGCTACTTTATTTCGATCTTTGCAACGCGTTTTGTGTACTTCAACTTCTTAACGCAATTAATAAATCACGTTTTAACGCATTTAATAAATCTGAGCACACAGGCCTACAACATTTCCGCCTCCACCAGAAATGCAGCCGCCGCAGCCTAGATTCGATCCCGCAACCTGCGGATCCGCAGCCGAGTACCTTAGCCACTAGACCACCGCGGCGGAGCCAAGAACTATAATTCAAAGTAAGTTTAAAATAAAAGCAAAATAGGTACCCATGATTAATTTTTTGCGTATATCGTTGTTTTTCAAAAGCCTTCTAAGATTACATTTTAGAAGAGTCTCAGTAGCTCTCTCAGTAAGTAGTTCGATATTTGCCCGTTTAGGTGATGTCTTCCTGACATTCACATCAACGTAACACTGTGCTTCAGGGTAGCGTAAAGCAAGTATACCAGACACACTTAACGTCAGTCATAACTTCCTATGTTTACAAAAGAAAGTGTGACGCTACCCGTGCCACGTTTCGCATATATATTTTGCACTATTTCTTCTCTGGTTGTGCTTTATGTCCGATTCTCACCTCTCCTTGTTTTTTGAGGTTTCGATCGCCTGCTTGGAATTGCGTTGACTGGGCAAGTAAGGGTGTGCTGTGGTGGTTTTTGCAGATATCCTCTTGCAGGGGTCGTAGATAAGCATCTTTTGGAGCATATTCACCACATCGCTGTCAGCCTTGGGAATCAGCTCTGCCACCACGTTTTTTTTTTCTCAATGGGAAATTTATTTTGAAGTTTGGCAGTTTCATACCGCCTGGCCATGTGTCGACTGTCGGCATGCCTAAGACATGAAATATGCGGAGCAGTTGTTCTATCTTCGAGTCCCCGCGAAAGAGCACTTTCCCAGTGAGCCATTGGAATAAAATACAGACGATACTCCACACATCGACCAGTGTCGAGCAACGTCTGGCGCCCATGCGTATCTCAGGAGCGACGTATCACAGGGTGCCTACGTTGTGGGTGAAGAGACGCACTGCCTCTGCAAACGGGTGACAAAGGCCGAAGTCGGCCACCTTGTTGTCGCCGTTACCATCGATAAGTAGGTCTGCTGGCTTCAGGTCGCGGTGCAAAACTCTCCGTTGGTGGAATAATAGAATTGGATCTACGATCTGACTGAGGTACTTCTTAATTACCGCGCCGTCCAGGGTCTCCTTGTTCTTGGGCTGTGCATTCAAGAGCTTCACATGGCCCATGGTCATATACTGTAACACCAAGTGTATAGCTTCGTACTCCGCCATGACAACGTCTACAAGCCGCACTATGTTGGGGCATTTCAGCTGCCTGAGAAAGGCCACCTCTCGGCTGGTCGTGGCTGGCACACCTGTCTCCACTCGTCTTCTTGGTCCTCAGTCGGATCTTCTTGATGTCGACGATCTCGTTGGTGGACTTGAACTTGGCCTTGTAGACGACGCCGTACGTGCCTTTGCCGATCTTCTCCGTGACGACGTAGTCATCCATCTTGACCGGGCTTCTCTCGGATGCCGTGTGTACAGGATTCACGACGGTGTGAAATGGTACGAGCTGTACCTGGCCCAGTTAACTGCCGCCCAGGTTGTTTGATCAAGAGGGGTGCAGATGTCAGCTCATGAAAGCTGGCCGCGCGCGGTGCTCTCTCACGAAGGGGCACGTTAACGCCCCACTACAGATAACACGGCATGCTGGCTTCTCAAAAAAACATCGAAGTGATGGGATACCATCTTTTTTTTCTTTTTGTCAGAGTTTGCTTCTCCATGTACACAGAGAACATATCCGTGAAATCGGTTCTGGTTTTTCTTAGGCTGAATCATTACCACACCTTGAAGCAGGAACACCGTGGAGAAAGCGCCTTAGGACTGTTACGCCAGTTTTGCAATAAGAATTTGGGGATGCACAGAGATACATTACTTATGATATACAATCGTTACGTGCGTCCAATTCTGGAGTTTAGTTGCGTTATGTTTTCCGGAAGTGCTAAGTACCAATTAACACCTCTTATATTGCTAGAAAGGCAAGCTCTGCGACTGTGTCTCAGACTACCCAGGTGTGTTGCAAATAGCGTGCTTTATTTGGAAGTTTGAATCATTCCACTTGATTCAAGAATTCTACAGCTTACCATACAAACATTTTTAAAACTTTACGATGTGCTCCTCTCACGTTCACAGACAGTTTTCATCAAATCTCCAGATTCTTTATTTAAACGCCCGTGGCCTCGTTATCAAAAACCCAAGTCATTTTTGTCGAGCCTATGTTGTCGAATATTCACGTTTCTCTTCAGCATTTAACTCCCCAAACCCCATGCTCGATGCCAGTCGACCTAGCGTTCGATGACATTTTTTTCAAAAAATGCTAAGCTAGTTCCAAAGCATGTTTTGGAGGGCCTCCTTCAAGACCATCTTAATCATTTTTCTCCTTACGTGGTAATTTCGATGGATGCAACGCAAAATCTTCAGAAGGACAGAGTAGGCACCTTTTCTCATCATCTTAATTACTATTTTGCGCTCCGACTGGCTGACTTCACGCCAATTTTTCTCGTAAAATTCTTGACAATTACATTGGCTTTTCGAAGACTGAGTTTTCAGCAATCAACATCTATCATTATTACGGATACCTTGTCTGTTTGTACATATTTAACGTCCGCAAAGCAGTCTCCTCTTATCAGAATATTTTGGTCCCTCGTACCACGTAGCTATCAGAAGTTCAGTTTTTTTGGGTGTCCGGGCATGCCGTAATAGCACTAAATAAACTGCTGACTCGCTCGCTTCGGCGTCGCGAAATTTCCCGATGGTTCCAGTTGCTCCACAGTTTTCTTTTATTACAGCCGAACGATTCAAACGCCTGTTAATTTAAAAAAAACGACAAAACATCGCTCCAACAATCTGAAAAATTTCGGCACTTGCAATTCACATGGAACACCGCAAAATGTCTTTCCCCTCAATGTGAGGTGACCCTTACAAGCTTTCGCTGTAGAGTTCCTCAGGTAAATTATCATCTCCAAAAATCCGGATTTTCAATAACTAACTTATGTGCACTTTGCAATGAACCCAAAACAATAGATCACTTTCTTCTCACATGCCACCGTTTTGCCTCACTGCGACAAATAATTCTTGAGAGACCGATTGGTATGTTGGGATTGGTAGTTAGTATGCATTCACCGGCTTATCGTTTGGAGCCAGTCAGTTGGGTGTGGGCCGCAGTGCTATTCTGTCAGCGCTACATAAATTCATTCAGGCAACCGGAAGGATATGCTGCCAGTGGTACTACCAGATATATCCAATTCTTTGTCCCCCTTTTGGGTTTTTGCTAATTTGTTTTATATATTCTGGTTTATAGAATTCTTTTGCCCTTTTCACCTTTTTTCTTTCTTTTTTTAAAGGAACGGTAATATTGTTCTTATGTTATTACCTGATTTTTCTCTCTTTTAGCAAGCATTGTATAAAAAATTTACAATATAAGATACAGTGTGGCCAATCCCCCTTGTGGGTATGAGCCGAGATCTTCTAATCAACAAGACAAGTACAGATTGACGCTGTGGAATTCTGTAGGCTTAATTGCTGGCAACAAACCTATCATTACGCAAATCACCTCAGTGGCTGTTGGCAGCGGTTATCCTAACAGACTCCCTCTGTGCTTGTTTTTTGAAGGTACACCTAAATTATTGAACAATCGGAGGAGATTTCAGCTTTGCCTTCAAGAGTATGTAAATTACGATAGCATTATCGGGACTCGTGCGCAATCACCTTGTTAACTGATAGCCCGCTCCGGTTCTCGGTCCATACTTCGACCATGTAGTAAAGACATGGATGACTGTGCGCATAGCATTGGCCGTTTTAAAGTATTATCGAATGTCTATTGCAAGCACAATTTTTAAGTACCCACTACGCCTTAAAATTCCTTCTGCGAATCAGCGAAGGGCCCACTACGCAGCCGTAGGGCAACGTGTGCACCGACGCAGCTATTGCTTACTTTGATGATCCTGCTGCGGGTGGGGATGAATAAATATGTTTGAATGCTTCGTAATGAGGGTGGGGGAGGCGGAGTAGCTTTAAAATACTCACTCGTTTCTCAATATTCAGCTGTTGACGACTGGCGCGATTTGACGCTTATGCTAAGCAATATATGAAGCTTTAAGGAAACTCCTTTCACTAGATTAGAGGGTCCTCAAACTGGGTTTAGTGTTCTGCAGGACCCTCCTGGGGGTTCCACAAGCCACTGTAAAGTTTTTTTCTGGTTCTGCGCTAACCCACTGAACTCATTTAAATTACAATGAGACATAAAAACAGACGTTGAACGTCTTCCATAGAGAAAACTATTTATTAAGGTAAACAGAAATAGTTTAGAGGACAAGACGCCCTAAAACTGCTTTGTTAAGGAACACAAGAAAACTGGGAAGCGTTCAAAAGACAAACCCTACCATTCGCTTTGTTGCGATAGCAATTATATGAATATTCTCCACTGGATTTGGCCGCTGGTGTCACCATCACTTAGCACATAAGTATACGTATATGAAAACGCAAGAAAGAAAAAAAAATCCGAAAAAAAAGACTTTCCCGCACTGAATCGAACTTGGCGCCCCCCATCCGTGAGCGCGAGACGTTAACCACTGAGCCACCGAGCAGCTCGAACTTTAACGCTCAAACGGCAAGCTATTTATATCTACCACATACCACTGGTGATGGGCATCTCGGGGGAGGGGGGGGGATTATCGTGTTCTCAGCATTACCAGCAAGATGTCGCAATGGGTGCGTCTTGGCGCGAGTCTCGAGGGGGAGAGGGGGGGGGGGCTATCGCGTTTTTAGCATTACCAGCAAGATGGCGCAATGAGCGCACAGCGGGGCGCGTTCTCTTGTCCCACGCGTACTTTGCCCCTCCCAGTGCAAAAGGGGGATGCTCGATGCTCGCTCACGCACCCTTATTTGGCGACGATCGTACGTCCTGGCTGGCGTTGAGCTTTCACTGAACGTTTTTGTTGTAGTTACCGGGTGCACGAAAGTCACTGCAATTGTTGCACAGTCTTTGTTTGTGAGAAGGGCGTGCTTTTCAGACACAGTGAAGTAACAACTGAGACGCTTATTCGCGTTCGTCTGCACCTTTCAGTACGTTGCGTGCTTTATTTGTGCCTGAGCAACGCTGGCCACGTTTCGATCAGCTTGCCATTCGGCGCGTGACCTTCCAATTTGTTGCTATAGCGTTCATTGCTTCGCCTTCGTGGCAAAGTTGTGACTTTTTTTTTTGTTCTTCTGAATATACAACTGCCCGGGCGGTCTCTCCCGCTCCTGTTCGTGCCCTAAAACCAGCCTGCTCTCTCTCCCTCTCTCCCTCAATTAGCCACCTTTGGTGTCACAAATCTGGCAGTGCAAAACAGTTGTCGGCCACAGAGCACGGTTCTAAGTACTGATCTTCAATCGATTCCCACGCGAAACCATGTCACCTCTAGTGGGTTTGTCGTTTGCCCTAACGGTTGTTCGGCAGGGTCCTCATGAGTAAACATTGCCCTAAGGTGTTGGCTATTGGACGCCCGCTTGTGGAGGTGCAAGGACGCCTTTTTAAGACAAAATTAGCCTCTTCATAAATTTTTGTGGCTTCACCTTCATTAGCTGCTCCGCACAACAAGGCGTCCACGTAAATAGACTGCTGCAGAATGGCCACTGTTTCAAGAAGCTGATGTTTCATCGTTTCGAACTGATGTCGAAACGTTGCTGCTAAAATGAAAGGGCTCGATATCGTCCAAATTGAATTCTGGCTATCCTGAAAACTCCTACCACCGGAAGAGGCCTGTTAATTTCAGGTTTTTCACTGACCCACAAAACCCTAATGCATCTAGGTCAGTAAAATGGACTGCAATTTGCAAAAAAATGCTCTTTGCACGTCGCTTACGAGTGCTATTCTGTGGCGTCGAAAAATCAGCTGCACGCATAGAAGTTCAGGATTAAGGTTAGTTCTGCTTTCCAATTTTTTTTTTGTTGATTTCGCTCCCCCCTCTGTGCAAAAATGCGTCGAAAACAGTCCGCAGCATTGTAGTCGTACTTTTTTCTCGAAGCACTGGCTGGTGTGGCATGTAATAAATTCACTTGCCGTCGTTATCAGTTTTGTCGCGCACGCTTTTGGCGACAGCTTCAGCCAGTAGCCATGTCACTTCGTTATCGTATTTTTTAGTAAGCTAGAGGCCTTTAACAGCCGTTTTGTCAGCTGAAGGAAGCGTTTGTACGCTAAAGTGCGGTTGTCTGCAAGTTCAAACTCGTTTTTTTGTGGTAGCCTTATTTTGTTGCAATCATTTACTTCTTTTATATTCTCCGAAAATTCCTGGATTAGGCACTCATCCGCAACGATTTCTGGACGGTCAGACATATCAATACTTTCCAGCTCCCGAAACGCCCTCAAGATCGGCGCTGTTTCCTGATCTGCAACAGCCGTCCTCAAAACAATCGCATGAGCACAGTTCTATGGCAGGCAGTCGACATTTTGCCTTAGACTGCTCATCC